ATCTAGAGACTCCTTACCCTCTGGACTAAATCCAAAAGGAGGACTGTACACACAGACTGACCTGTTCACATTAGTCCCAGAGCTGTTCTCTTGCAGCTCAGCAGATAGGCGCTCTTCACTCCCTGCTCAAGGTGAGTGAGGGCTTTCAGAAACCCCTACCACCGTCCATTCTGAGCTCACTCCTTTCCATTGTAGCACCAGGCATGCCTGAACAGAAAATAGCTTCTATTTATTGAGTGTTTACTGTTTATTATGGTAGATTCTTGGGAAATTGAAACCCTCTGCCACTACCATGAGTTTTTCTTCTTAGGAGAAGCAGATGAGATGACCATTCTGTGACCAGGGTCTATGGTTCTTAGCAAGCTTTTCAAGGATCTTGGTTTTTTCAGAAGACAGAAATAATACAGTGTGTTCACATTACCTCTTTGGTGAAAAATCTGTTTTTTTTTTCTTTTTTCTATTGGAAAATGGTATCAAACCCTTAGTTTCTCAGTGAAATTGGAGCACCACCTCCCTCCCCTTCACTTCTGTCCTGAAACAGTAAAGTGGTAAAAGCAGCCTGAAAACCAGCCCTCTTTCACAGTGGTTGGTCGTGTTGACAAAGCCTTGGTGGATTATTTTCCCGTGGCTGCCTTAACCAATTGTCACAACCATGGTGGCTTAGAAACAACAAATTTATTCTCTCAACAGTTTTGGAGGCCAGAAATTCAAGATGAAAGTGTCATCAGGGCCACAAGAACTTGTTCTTTTATAGCAAGAAACAGAACTGTCCTTCAAACTCAGGAGTTGGATGTGGCAGTGAGCTATTTTGCCACTGCACTCCAGCCTGGGCAACAGAGGGAGACTGTTTCTAAAACATTTAAAAATAAATAAATAAATAAAAAGAATTGTGCTTCAAGTTACCCTAAGAAAAATGTGCAATGACTCACTATAAAGACACTGGGTATGTCGGCCTGGATCCCTGGCTGCAAGCTACAGGAGCCAAGCCTGGACAGCTGAAGCAAGAGAGGATTTCAGAAGAGCTTTGGGGGCTCACAGAATGGAAGGAGGTTGGAGAACTTGGCTTGGGCTATGAACAGGAATTGGACAGCAGACGCCATACCCTGTGATCTTTAGTCCTATAGCGAAAAAGTCTGGTCATTCCCTGCCACACGGAAGCTGCCATGTCTGACTTCCTGAAGCTCATGGACTTGTTTCAAGTGTTAGGAGAGAGCATACAACTGTCTGAGCCTGGGCCACACTGCCCAGTGACCCAGAGAGGGAGGCCCTAGCTCTGAAGCTTCCAGCAAAAAGGCAGGCACTTTCTGCCCATCAAGACCACTCATGAGGGGTGGGAAAAGGATGTTTTAGGAAGGGGGAGATTAAAAGCTGGAAGCCAAAAATGGCAGCTATCCACCACAAGGGCCAGCTCAGCACTCACAGGCAGGGAGACTCGAGGAATGAGAGCCAGAACAACAACCAGAAGGGTCTCTTTCTTGGTCTTGTTTTCCCCACCTCGCCTCCTACACGTGATTTCCTTGACTGCGGAACTTTCTCCACTTCTCCATGCACGGGGCCCCTTCTGACCCATTTTATTCATCTCAGCTCCAGCCACACAGAAGCTATCTTCTCTCAGTCCCAATTCCAAATTCTTGGGAGAGATAATCTGATTGATTCAGGTTAGGTAGTCTCAGAGAAAGTGGTTCTTTTAAATAGAGAAGATACTCCAAACATGTCCTGCAATTGAGGAATAAAATTTGGGGGCAGACGTGCTCACTAGAGGTTTATTTCTGCAGAGACTGGGCTGTGCAGAAAAAGTTTGAAGACATCCTTCTGTATGAATAAAGTAGTGCAGTTGCGACAAAGGTGTTTATGTCCAATTTTAGCTCTGCCACAGAGCAGGTTCATGTTATTTTATACATCTGAACAGAGCCAAACAGTACTTCTTTAAAAATAGACCATAATTTGGAATTTCCTTACATCAACAGGACCGACCTCCTGCTCTTCTTCCCAACGCAGTTAAATTTTACTCCCTCCTTGGTATCTTTCTCTAAAACTTAAATCTGAAAAATGCTTGCCACAGACAAGGTACCTATAAATGTTGCAGAATGAATGAATGAGTCAATCAATCAATTACTTCCTCTAAGCCAAAGCTGTCTTCTCCAGCAACATATAATGGCTGAGTTCTGTAGTGGGAAACTTGATAACTTCACCTGCTCTTGCAGAATTTCCTTTCTTCCTCCTAGCTTTGCCTTACTTTGTGCCATCCCCCTTTTCACAACCTTGGTCCAAGACACCGTCAGCTCTCACCCTGACTCTGCCATGGCTTTTAACTCGTCACTTTCACTCTGATCCCTTGCATTCTATTCTCCAAAAGGCAGCCAAAGGGAGCTTTTGAGAAGTAAATCAGATCCTGCCACTCCTCTGGACTTAGGCCTCAGGCAGCTTCCCCCACGCCCTGAATGGTCTCTCCAGCCTGCCTGTCCCATTCCACAAGCTCTTAATCTACACTCCTCTCCTCCCATGACCTTGACACAGAGCGCTTCCTTCTCTCTGGAACACTCTTCCTTGCCCCATCCTCAGTCCTGCCCAGTGAACTAGCTGGCCTTCAGATCACATCTCAAATAGCTCTCACTGTCCTGGGCACTTGCTTGATGAGGGCTCCCTGCTCTCTGTTCTCACACTCCCACATTTTCTGTCTTTTATGGCACTTACAGATTTGTAATGGTGTGTGACTGACGTCATTATTCCGTAAGTGTCAGTTTCCCTCACTGAAGTGGAAGCTCTTTGAGGTCGAGGACTGTACTTGTTTGCCAGGGCTGTCGTAACAAAATACCACAGACTGTGGGGCTTATAGAAAAGAAATCTATTTCTCACAGTTCTAGAGGCTGTAAGTCCAAGATGAAGGTGTAGTCAGTAGGCTTGGTTTCTTGAGTCCTCTCGTCTTGGCTTGCAGATGGCAGCCTTTTCCCTGTGTCCTCACATGGCCTTTTCTCTGTGTGCATGCATCCCTGGTTTATCTTTGTATCCAAATTTCCTCTTTTTATAAGGGCACTGGTCAGATTGGATGGCCCTAATGACCTCACTTTAACTCGTTCACCTCTTTAAAGGCTCTAAGTAGAGTCACATTCCAAGATACTGGTGGTTGCCTTTCACATAGAAATTTCAGGGGGACCCAATTCAGCCCATAACATGGACTGTGTCACTTCTGCTCACCACTGTGTCCCCCACTCAGGACAGTGCCATGCCTGACATGTCTTAGGACTTTATACATTCCCATTAAATGAATGATTGCATTTCAACTCTCCCTTTCCTCTTCCTCTCCCCACCGTACGTTGTGCTAGAGGCACAAAGGAAAGAAGGCATAGATGGCTACAGAAGGAACCTAAGTGACCACAGGAAATGTCTGCTACGCTACTCTTGAAATTACAGACCTTTTGGGAGAGCGTTGCTCTCTTCTAGTATTCTCTATGGGGGAAAATCAGCCACCTGTCAGCGGCCAGCTCATCCTGCCCTGGTGTGTGTCTACTGCCCCCATGGGCTGCTGTGGGAGTTTTGCTGACAGCTGCACACCCATCCAACTGGCCTCTTTGGAAGGTGAGTCACAGGCTGCCGGGAGTGTGGATCTGCATATCTGCAGGAAGGCAGTTTAGTAATAGGTACTAGAACCTAAAAAAAGTCATATCCTATGACCTTATAATTACAAAGCTAGGAATCTAATCTGAGGGATTAGCGGGGGCAGGGTGGGTGGGGGGGGCTAAGATGAGTTTATATCTATTTTTTTTTTTAACGCAACCTCCTTTTCACGATTATAATAGTAAGAATCTGGGGAGAGCCCCAATGTGAAACAAGAGAAAGTTTGTGAATCTAGTACATTTAGATGACAGACAATTATGTAGCTACTGAAAATATTGTTTATGAAAAAATTTTAATGATGCAACAACGTGGGACACAGGCCACATTCTACGCTCAGATATATAATAAATACTGCAATTTACATGTGTATGTACATTCAGAGGGGAAAGCCTGGGCTGGCAAATACCCAAATGTTAATAGACAATTTTTTTCAGAACCAGAGATTTCTTTATGCTTTTTTTTTTTTTGAAACGGAGTCTCACTCTGTAGCCCAGGCTGGAGTGCAGTGGCGCGATCTCTGCTCACTGCAACCTCCTCCTCCCGGGTCCTGGTTCAAGCGATTCTCTCTACCTCAGCCTCCAGAGTAACTGGATTACAGGCACGCGCCATGCCCAGCTAATTTTTTGCATTTTTAGTAGAGACGGGGTTTCACCATGTTGACCAGGATGGTCTCGATCTGTTGACCTCGTGATCCACCCGCCTCGGCCTCCCAAAGTGCTGGGATTACAGGCTTGAGCCACCACGCCCGGCCGTCTTGCTTTTAAAGCTAGAAAAAGAAGGCAAAGTTTTTAAAGCAGCCGCCCTGCTTGTCAATGAAATTCTCAGCTCCAGGCTTCCCTTAGGGAAAGAGCCTCCCCAGGATCCCCCGTCCTACCCCGGGCGGTCGGGTTGGCTTCTGGAGAGACTGCTCAAATCTCCGAGGCGGAAGGAGGCGACCGATTTGGCGCAGCGCTCAAACAGGGGTGGATGGAAGCTCAGGGGAGGAGCCGAGCCTTTCCCCTGTGGGAGAGCGAGATCTGGGCTACGCTGGGCGTTCGGAGCCTGGTCCAGCCTCCGGCCATCGCGGCCGCCGCCCAGCCAGGTGCAAAATGCCGTGTCATGGGCCGCAGCCGGGGCATTAGATTACAGCTCAACGGCGCCCGGGAAGGGCAGCGGGGGTGGAAGATGAGCAGAAACCCCTGTTCTCAGAACGCCGGCTGTCGAGCGGGGTGAGCGCAGTCGGGGCGGGGACCCAGCCTAACCCACTGGAGCCGCCGGGGGGTGGCCAGTTCCCCTTTAAGAGCAGCAGCTCTGAGCCAGGAGCCAGAGATCCCAGCCGGCCTCGCCCAGCCAGCCCTCTCTAGTGAGGGGACCCACGAGTGGAGCCTCAGCCCTCCCGACCTTTCTGAGCCCTTTTTGTGCCCTGGGCGCACGGGGCCCTACACGCGCCAGACATGCTGAGGGTCTTCATCCTCTATGCTGAGAACGTCCGCACGCCGGACACCGACATCAGCGACGCCTACTGCTCCGCGGTGTTTGCAGGTAGAAGGGGCCGGCCACCCCCGCCGGGGTTCGGGATGGGGGTTGGGGAGGTGACCCCGCGGCTCTCAACCCTGGAGAGCACCTGGAGGTGAGAGACAGGAGACATTCTGGCCCCGCTAGACTGACGTTGACTGTTGCAACGACACAGGTCTGCAGAGGGCGATTCAGAGGGAAACTGAGGCTGGAAGAAGAGAAGTGCCGGTTAGGCACTTCTCCTGGAAGCTGAGCCCAAGTTGGCACTGAGGTGGGCCAGGAAGGTGGGAACAGCATCTCTCCTCTCACCTTTTCGGGATATCTGAAAAGAGGTCTTTCCGGTTTCAGGCAGCGAAGCGCTGTACCGCCGGGCTTTCCTCCTTCTTCCCCCAAGGCCTGGTCCCAGGCCTATTTATAACCCAGCTCTCCCCCACTCCCCACCCCGGCCTGCGCCTGGCTGCTTTCTGGCCCTTTGCTCTCTCTCAGAGGCTGGCCTGGCAGGCTGGCAACTACTGGGGGCGGAGGCACCGCCCACTCTTTCAGGGACCCTACCCTTGCTTTGGGCACAGGATGGGGCAATTTAGCAGCTGGGCACAGCTGTCACAGCACCAACCTTTAGAGACTTTCTCTGCCCCCAACCCCTGCCCCCAGCGGACCAGTGGGTGGAGGGAGGTGGGGTAGTATCTGGTTTCTATCATCAGAGTGAGGCCTCCTTGATTGAGCAGGGAAGCCACTCCCCTATCAGATTGGGACCTCCCACAGGAGAGCTTTCAAGAGAAGACTTTTCCCCCAGGAGCTGAGGGCTGGGCCCTGTCTGCTCTCAAGAAACCCTTCAGGACCAAGCCAAGCTAGGGTCTACAGAGCTGAGTCTTCGGGCTTGGAACCATATTGGGGGAGAACTAGGGGGAAAGAGTGTGAACCTCCCACCAAGCCTGAGGCTTTTCCTCTCAGCCTTCACGTGCCATTCCCCTTCTCCCCAGAGATCTGACTTCTACTCTAACTACATCATAGCATTAGTCAGTCTCTGGCCATTCAGCACAGACATTCCCTTTCAGTTTCATGAGCTCCTGGATACACCTGTTCACAGACTCATCTGCACATATGCTCCCAGGCACAGGCACATCCTGGAGCGTTTGGGACACCTGTGATGTGCCAAGGACTAGAAGCTCCAAAAGCACAGGCTCATGTTCACCACAGCATGTGCAGTGGGTCATTTCATGAGTGCCCACTCCTGGGTGTGAGATTCAGGGGTTCCATATTTGTTGGACCAGGTCGGAGCTCCAGGAGGAGTTGGTGAATGTTCCTGAGCTCTGGAGAGCAGTGTGCACCAAGAGCAGGGCCACTAAGGGCAGTGGTGGCACTCCAGCTGTGCATTTCTCCTAACGCACTGCTGTGACCTGCTCTCAATCCGTTTCCCACGGTGGCCTCCGGAAATGAGCTTTATCCAGGTGTTTCCAGCAGGGAGGACATGGGGGTCTTTCATGCTTCTTCTCTGCATCCTCAGCTCTGGGCAGGCCAGGTCAGTGGCCCTGTTTAGCAGCCTGGCTGAGGGCTCTGGGTTCCTGTTGCACAACTCCAGGGGGCACCATTCATACTGTAAAGAGCCCCTGGGCAGAGGGGAGGGAGGACAGGCACTCTGTGGGTGAAGCAGCCTCCACCCACCCCAGCACCTCTTCCCCATTTACAGCCCCTGAACCTGGGGGCTGAGTAGGCTTTGTGAATGGTGCCCTCCCCAGGTACACAAATGTACACTCATCTGCAGCAGCCCCTGCTGTCAGGGGCTTTGTCTCTGGTTTCCACTGAGCCTGAACCAGATTTTCTTCCACCTTCCCTGACCACATGCCCCCTCTGCACCCATGCACTCAATACACTAGGCTCCCACCTCATGGTCCCTTGCCCAGGCTAGACTCAGACCTCTGGCTGGAGAAAGGAAATAATGAATAATGAATGGCAGGCACTTTCTAACCCCAGAAGTGCAGGAAGTGCTGCTGGTGTGGCTTCTCTTGTCATTTCAGCCCCAAGGGCCTGTATGTGGACCAGTTCCCCCCATCCTGCCTCCTCCCATTTACACATCCCTGGCTGACCCTTTTCCTTCCCCCTGCCATTTGCCTGCTGCCTGGCTCTTTGGGGTTGGCTCCCTGTTTCCAGGGCCCAGAGCACACAGCTTACCTTGGGGAAAGGAAATACATTTTCTGTGCCAATCTGTCATGAGCCCCTGAACCTGGGAAGAGACTGGTTGGAGCCCCCACCCCCAGTCATCACTGAAACCGCCAGGCAGTCCTGGGGAATGCAGTTCCTCCCCTCCCCCAGCCTCTGGCCACATTTCACCTCCTGCATTAGCCAAGCTCCTGACCCATGTCCAAATTTGGCCTCCCTGTGCTATTCAGGCCTGCTCACTGTCCTTCTCCCTGGCAGGGTCAAGTTGGTGAATTTACACAGAAGACTTCAGTCTCAGGGATGCAGCTCAAAGCAAAACACCAGTTTGAGAAGCCTTCCCTCCCCAGATGGCCTGGGTCTGCTCTTCCCAGACTCCTTATCTGTTGTCCCATAAAGGCCCTCCTTTGGTTACATGATTATAATACCCGGTAGTCACACTTCGCAGCCCCTTTGTGCATGCATACATTCATTTCAAGCTCACAGAAGCTTTGTGAGGCCAAAGGGCAAGGATATTATCCCCACTTAAAGACAAGGATATTAGCTCAGAGAAGTATAGGAGCCTGGCCAAGGTCACATAGTGGCCACAGTGTCCCCACCTCCAACCCCTCATCAGTGCCCTCTGTTGTTCTCAGCATCCTTGGCATATGAATAAGAAAGTGCTGTGCAGAGCATACCATGTGCTGCCCACACCCAGGACACCAGGGAACTTGGACCTGAGCCAGCTAGGGAGGGCAGTGCCTGGGGCCCCAGCAAGGGCTGAGTCAGAGTAGGGGAGTGCAGGGCTGCAGGAGCGCAGCGTGAGACAAATGACCCAAAGAGGGAGGATTCTGGGGTTTCAAATGCATGTTCCTCACAAAGAGAGGGAATGGACATTTGGTAAGCACAAAAGCATGCCATTGTCAGATGGTGTTTCTTTAAGAATCTCACCGCCAGTCGGATGAAAGAGATCTATTGAACTGACACCATGGTTATTTTATGGCAATGCTGTTCTAACTAGAACATTAATATAAGCGACATCATGGCCCAGTTATAATTTGTAACAGGCACTTACATGAAGATACATACACCTCAATCCTCTTAGCAAGCTCTCATCACTCCCATTCTACAGATAAGGAAACTGAGACATGAAGAGGTAATGTAAGATGCCTAAGGTTATACACTGGTAAGTAGTGGGGTTCAAGTCTAAGTACCTGGCTCCTGAGGCCCCACAATATCCCCAGCTTTAACCACTCTGCTATCTACCTCTGGCTTTGGCTTGGATTTACCAAAGACAAGCAAGAAAAGGTGAAGCAGTAGGACTTGAACCCAGGCCTGGCTGAGCCCCTGCTGCCCGCCTCGGCCTGCACATTGATTCCTCACATCCTGCCACACCATGCGCATGGTCCTTACTGCTGCTCGCTCACCCAGGCACAGACATCCTCAGCCCTTATACTCCGGTCTTGCAGATGCTTTCTTATCTCAGGGGGTCCCTGCCCTCTGCCTCACCCTTTCTATATCCGTTGGGACCAATTGGTCACCAGTTGGTACAGGATGCTCCCTCCAGGCAGTGCCCTCATTCCAGGCCAGCTCACAGCTCTGACAGGGCTATGGTGGCTGCCTAAGATCTGAAAGCCAAGGGTGAGGGCAATGGTCACGTGGCACTGAGGTGGGCAACCTGTGGTGGGTATGGCAGGTGCCCTGGGGCTTCCAGAGAGGGGACCATGTAACTGTGGATCTCAAGCTTAGCCAGTCCAGGAGAAAGTAAAAGTTGGGTGGGGGGCCTGGAAGTGTGGATAGCTGGCAGTCTGAGTCAATCCAGGGGGACAACAGCATCAAACAAGAGGAGAGAAGGATTGCCTGCATCTGAACTCGGGACCCCAGGTCTGCCACTTTCTGGCTGTGTGGCTTTGGGCAAGTCATTAACTGCTGTAGGTCAGTTTTCTTATCTGTAAAGTGTTGTACTTGCTTTGGAGGAATGATTCTGGAGAGTTTATGTGTTAGTCCATATAAAGCACTCTGAACATCCTTGGGGTGGGTGGCACCTTTGCCTGAGTTTTGCTTGGACCCGCTGGGCTTGTTTCACTCACTCAGCCTGGCAGGCTGTGCTCAGCTCACAGTACCGGCCGGATCCCACGTCTACCAAGGGTGAGCCAGGCACCGAGCAGCAAGGGGTGTGTGAGTGAGTGCAGGGTCTGACCCAGGTGAGCACAGGCATGCCAGCTGTGGTGGGGCAGGCAGCTCCAGGTGCTGGTACCAGCTCTGTGGAGGCTGCGACTGGACCAGGCATACTACAAGCCGCTTCCACTGCGGCCACCGGGGAATGCAGTGGTGCCTGGAAACTTGGAGGCACCAGGAACTGCAGAGCCCCAAAAGAGTGTCACAGCCATGACTCGAAGGGCCCCTAAGGTCTGGGCTCCCTGAAGGGCTGCAGCTTTTCTCTCCTTCTCATCACCTGAAATGTGGCAAGTGGGGTTGGGGGATGGGTCCTTTCAGCTTTGTTTGTGTTACAGCTCTTTTAGTCCTGAGTTCTTGTCCTGTGTCCAGGAAGAATGAGATACATAGACAACTGGAAGGTGAGCAAGGTAGAGAGAGCTTCACTGAGTACGGAACAGCTCTCAGGAGACCCAAAGTGGGGTAGCTCCTTTCTGCAGGCCGGTCCTCCTGATGCTTGTGCAGCTGTCATCAGACAGGAGATGTGCAGAGGGCAGCTCCTCTCCACAGGCAGGTCTCCCCGATGGGTGGAGGAGACCCAACCCAGAGTGGGTAGCTCCTTCCTGTACCTGGTAGTCCCAACATCTGTCTGAGTCTGGCTGAGTCCCGGGTTTCTATGGACTCAGAAGGGAGGAAGTGTGTGCTGTTTGGTTCATGGGCAGCCAGGAGTGGGCTCGGGGGAAAAGCACCATAAGTTCTCACTCTCGGCTGAGGATTCCACCTGGAACTGGCAGCCCAGCCCCCAGGCTTCAGGCCATTCCTGGCTTGAAGGTGGGATTTCACTGGGGATCTGCCCCTTTCTGCCCAGGAGCAAGTCTGCCTCCTACTGCCATCAGCATGCCATCTAGGGCACCAGGCTGTTCGTGTAGAGGAAGTGCTGGTCAAATTACATACTTGGGCTTCTTGGCTCATAAGCTACTACCACACAAACGTACTAGATGTAATATTAAAAATCACTTGTATATCACAATTCCAAGTTTTATGCAATGTTGACAGCTTATTTCCCAGACATTTTGCAGAGTTTATGAGATTAAAAAGGCAGTACTGAGTCTTTCTGTAGTAATAGAACAAGAGTTCAGTATTATTATGGAAACACTGAGATCACTGAAAACTACAATCAGAAGTTAGTAGCCTCTGTTGTGCTTGCTCAACAGGGAGGAGCCTGTGAGATCCCTGGGGAAGAACGCGGCTACCATGCAAATCGTTCTGCACAATTAGCCCACACTTTTTAAAAAGACAAGAGAAATGTTCGTTATTAAATAAATAAGGCTAAAGTGTTTTATTGGACAGACCTATTTCCAGGCATAGAAGGCTGATTTACTGGGGTGCGGGGAGTTGTGCTCAGATTTGTTCTTTTCTGTCTGCTCTTTCTCGTCCTAATCTATGATGTTTTCTCCCTTTACAGACCCCCTGTAACACAACAGTTAACTTGACTTTTCTCTCCAAAGCCTCCAACTCAACTTTTAATGCTCGAAACATCTAGTGAAGTCTCAGATGAAGAAAATGAAGAAGCGAAGGATGCACCATCCTCAACTATGCCAGATTGGCATATAGATTATTTTTCCAACCTTTTCCACACCAGGGCGAGAAAGCAGCCTTTACCACCGTAATGGGAACGAGGGGCTGCAATGGACCTGCAGAAATGTGCTTACCAAAAAAGCTCTGATTCTCCTCTGGTTCTACCCCGACGGTGTATTTCCTAGGGACTCTCCTAAAATTTACTGCCCCTAGCCAGACACCATTTTTCCTGTTTTTTCTTCTAAAATGTATTGTGTTTTGTCTAAAAAGTATAAAAGCATCCAGTCAAGTGTTAGGACACAGTTATACATAGTACTGATGGTGTCAGAGCAATTTGCCCCCTTGGTGTTTTTATGAGGTGGAGATGTGTCCAGGCAGTGTATCCTAATGCCAAAGACCTGGTCTTTTTTCCTCTCCATGGAAAGCTTCATGGGGGCCAATATTCAACATCCTTAAAGAACAGAACTTTCAGCCCAGAATTTCATATCCTGCCAAACTAAGCTTCACAACTGAAGGAAAAATAAAATCTTTTAGGAACAAGCAAGTACTCAGAGATTTTATTACCACCAGGCCTGCTTTACAAGAACTTCTGAAAGAAGCATTATACATAGAAAGGAACAACCAGTATGAGCCTTTCTAAAAATATACCAAAAAGTAAAGAGCATCAACATAAAGAAGAATTTACATCAACGAATGGATAAAATAGCCAGTTAACATCAAATGGCAGTAACCCTAAATTTAAATCGACTAAATCCCCCAATCAAAAGATACAGCCAAAATCTAATGGTATATCCAAAGATACACAAAGACTCAAAACAAAGGGTTGGAGAAAAATTTACCAACCAAATGGAGAGCAAAAATAAATAAATAAACAAAAAGCAGGAGTTGCAATTCTCACATTTGATAAAATAGATTTCAAAGCAACAAAGATACAATGGTAAAAGGATCAATGCAACAATAAGAGATCTTAACACCCAGATACATAAGACCCATAACGAGATTTAGACTCAATGAGACAGAAAATTAATAAGGATATCCAGGACTTGAACTCAGATCCAGAACAAGTAAACTCAATAAATATTTATAGAGCTCTCCATTTTAAATACACAAAATATACATTGTCCACTTTAAATACACAAAATATTGATCAGCCATTATTAATACCCATTTTTAGAATGAAGCAATATTCCTGTTCTCTCTCCCTCTTTTTCTTCCTCTTTCTTCCTCTCCTTCTCTCCTTTTTTTCTTAAAAAAAAAAAAATCCCTAGACACTTAAATGGTACACTTAGGCACCAATAACAGTGGCTGTGGGTGGAGCAGGCCTGTACTCAGGCCCCTAGATGGTGGGAGGTGGTGCTATCAGGGGTAGCAGAGGGCTGAGCAGGCCTGGGCTGGCCTATCCTTCAGCCCCGGGACAGTGACTAGAGAGACCTATCCCTAGATCCACTGAAGATGCATGCAGGTGTACTGTAGCCCCACCACTGGAGGGAGGAAAAAAAAAAAGCCTCATCAACACTCACCCAAACTGAGACACAATCTTACACATCAACCTTATGTGTAAAACATATGAGCATCAATTCTGAGTGACTGGATCAGAAGGACACAGCTTTCACAATGGAGGGTGGTGGCCTTCGGACTGGGTAACTTAAAAGTTCTCAAGCCAGGTGTTTGCTGTCCCTGAAGAGTTTCATGAAACAGCAGGGAAAGATCACAGTCATCCATTTGGCTCATTTTGTTGTCAGTAAGTGTTAAAATTGCCCAATGTCCCCGGTATACATGTAAGTGGATCTGTGTATGTGTGTGTGTGTGTGTGTGTGGTATTTCGGTTATTTTAAAAAATGTACATTTATATTTAACATATATTTTTATTTTTACAAATGTGATTTGATTGATACCTATATTTATTTATTTGTATATAAATATATATGTGTGCAGGTGTATTTTCTTATCACCTGCATGGAAAAATACTGCTGCAGCTGACAAACAGCACCACAAAATTATATGTAGAATGACCAAAGCACTGAGACCCCCTCTGAGTGCTGCTGCTCTAATCCGGTGTTAGCACGCAGCTGCACGTAGGACTCAGGGGACTCAGAGTGTTGGAGCCATCCATTCCCTTGCTGTTTTGGTGAGGGTAAGCACCTGCTCTAGGAGAAGGCAGAGAGTGGATGCTGTTTTACAACACATGGGGGCAGCCAAACCTAATGGACCGGTCATATCAGCTGGGCTTCCATTCAGATCCTGAGTGGTCACAATCTCAAAAGTAAAAGGGTCATTTTTTGTTTGTGCAGCCACACACTCATCAGCCCACTGTGGTGCCTTAAGTCCAGCTAGATATCACCCAGTGATGCCCAAGGCCAGTTTCCTGGCACGGAGCTTCATGACACCCTATCGCTTTGGGGTTTGGGCATGCATAGCTCACATTGGCCAGGAGAAACATGCCTCCCCCACAAATTTAGCCCAAGTTTGGCAGCACACATTCTCCATCTACCTGAGGAGACAGGGTTCAGCACTCTGCCTCTTGCCTGGTTTTCATCATTACCACGACTTTGACCTTCAGAAGGGTTTGTCAACACCCAGTTCCCTGTTTCCCACACTTCTCAAACTTGTGGAAAAGATTGCAGGCATCTTACTCCCAGGGTCTCTTCTCTGGGTGTTCTTCAGGCCTGTCCTGTTAGCCTGTCTAGAGCCATCTGGAACTGGCCAGCAAAGCCTGCTCTAGACTGTGTGGTCTTCAGACTCTGGAGCCATTTTCCTGGCCTGTGAAACATCCAATGGACCTGAGTGCAGTGCAACTCTGGCCTGGCTGCTCTTCACTCCTGTAGCATCTTACAGCAGCCACACTCTCACTGCTTGAAGCATAACCTGAGGTTTAAGACCTAGACAATCTATCTCTTCACAAAGATCCTCTTCAATGCCCACCAAACTGGGACACCATTGCATGGACCCACCTCAGATGTACAAAACATGAACACCAATCTTTTTTTTTTTTTTGAGACAGAGTTTCACTGTTACCCAGACTGGAGTGCAATGGCACAATCTCGGCTCCACCTTCTGGGTTCAAGCAATTCTCCTGCCTCAACCTCCCGAGTAGCTGGGACTACTGGTGCGCACCACCATGCCCAGCTAATTTTTGTATTTTTAGTAGAGACAGTGTTTCACCTCATTGATTAGGATGGTCTCAATCTCTTGACCTCGTGATCCACCCACCTCGGCCTCCCAAAGTGCTGGGATTATAGGCATGAGCCACTGTGCCCGGCCAAGCACCAATCTTGACTGGGAGAAGTAGACAGCTTTCCCCCTGGAGTATGATGGCCTCTGGACTGGATATGGTTAAAGGTCTCTGGTTAGGTGTTTTCTATCCATTTCAAGTGAGATGGAACTGGGAGGAAAAGTCTCCAGTATCTTCTCTGGTATCTTCACTGCCAGTATGTTGCAAAAGGGCCTAACAGCCACTGGTATAAATATAATGTATGTGTGTGTTTATGTAATTGTGTGTGTGTGTGTGTGTGTGTGTGTGTGTGTGTGAGTTGGGGTTGTTTTTGTTACCCATCTTTATTTATGTTTATATGTATAATCCTATATATCTATTATACATGTACATGTAATTATATAGAATATATTTTTAATAAATATATAGTTATCTATTTTTCTATATCATATTTATCTATCTATCCATGAATACATTTTATTTTCACCTGCATGGAGAAACACCATTACATGCTGGCAGACAGTGTTAGAAATTTATATGTATTAATATCTATATTTTGATTTGTATTTACTTATTTATATAGGTTACATACTTATTTGTATATACATAAAATTATGCAACTTTGTGTGTTTGTGTGTGTGTGTGTATATATATTCCTAGTTGTGTCTTTACTCATGTTTTGTCTTGTTGACACAGTCCAGAGTGCCAGCACGACACTGTTTCTTGACAGCAGTGATTCTGAAACAAGTAGACATTGCCAAGTGTTGTTCTCTGGTCTCGTGTGAGGACGCAGCTGCAAACTGCACTCAGGATGGCGGAGCCATTTGTCCCTTTGGTGTTTCATTGAACTTGAGCTCTCACTCCAGGAGAAAGCAGAGAGTGTCAACTGGCTGTTTCAGGGTGAATGTGGGCTGCAAAGGCCTAATGGACCTGGTAATGTGGATTGGTCTCCCATCAAAGTTCCATTTAGGTGCAACCTCTATGAGTTTCTATTACGAGAAGTCAAGGGGATCTTTATGGCTTGCGTGGCCATACACTTGTCAGCCTAGACTGGGCAACTAAAGACTGGTCTATCCTGGCACAAGGAATATGCCTGGGCTAGGGACACAGGGCACTCTGTGCCTTTTAGAAAGAGTATGCAATTGTAGTTTCCATCCACCAGGAAAAACATACCTATCTTTACAAAAAAAACAGACTCTATCTTTACAAAAAGAGGGCTTGGGCCTGGGAGGTCCAGGCTGCAGGAAGCAGCCTGATCACACCACTGCACTCCAGCCCAGGTGACAGCGTGAGACCCTGTCTCAAAAACAGAGCAAATAATGCAGCACTAAAGAAACATGCTTAGTTTGATTTGTTACACCTGTATGTGTAATTCGATCAAACTGAGGCCTCAAAAACAAAGGTAAGAAACAACATTCAAAAGCGTTTTCTAAACACTTGGATACAGAGTTCTTTTTCTGAGAAAAGCTCCATTCCCTGAAAGACAACAGCCAATAGCACATCCCTAAAGAAACACACTTGGATGTCTGCCTTAAACACGTATCTGAAAACCTATCAATGAGGCCTAAAAACCAAGAGCAACAAAAGGTCTTTAAGAACATGTATACCACATACGGTAGGGCTTTTTCACAATGGGTTTGCCACCAGAACGTAGGTGTCATGTAAACTACCCCTAAAAGCCAAAATGGGAAAGGAAAGAAAGGACTCATATCAACACCGTCGTCATTGTCCATGTAGATCTGGGAATTCCACCATTCCTGGCCATCTGATCTACACAGGTGGTGGCCTGGACAAACAAATCACTGAAAATGTGAGGAGGAGGCTGCTGAGTTGGGAATGGGCTCTTCAGTGTGCTGTGTCTTGGATAAACTGAAAGCTGAGTGTGAATGTGATACTACCTTGACCTCTTCCTTTAGAAATCTGAGACCAGCAAGTACCAGTGACTATTGTTGATGCTTCAGGCCATAGAGACTGTATCAGCAACATGAATACAGGCTCATTTCAGACGGGCTGTGCTATTCTGATTGTTGCTGCTGGTGTTGGTGAATTTGAAGCTGGTATCTCCAAGAATGGGCAGACCCATGAACCTGACCTTCTGGCTCACACGCTGGGTATGAAACAACTAATTGTTGTGTCAACAATATGGATTCCATGGAGCCACTCTCCAGCCAGAAGAGACATGAAGAAACTGTGAAGGAAGTCAGCACCTACACTGAGAAAACTGCGTACAACCCTGGCACGTAGCATTTGTGGTAGCTTCTGTTTGAAATAGCAACAGCATGCCGGAGCCAGGAGCTCATAGGCCTTGGTTCCAGGATGGAAAGTCACCCTTAGAGATGGCAATGCCAGGGCAAACATGCTGCTGGGAGCTCTGGACATCTTCCTACCACCAACTGGTCAGACTGACAAGCCCGTCTACAGGATAGCTACAAAATTGGTGGTATTGGTTCTCCCCTGTGGGCTGAGTGGAGATAAGCATGACACCACATGCACCCCATCCACACTCTGCCCTAGGAGCTTTAGGGTCATTACTAATGGGCAGAGGAATTCTACACCTACAAGAAAACGGTCAATACCTATCATCACAAAAATTCAAAAATATAAAACACACTGATAGAGCAAACACACAAATAAGAAAAAGAAAAGACTCAAATGTTACCACTACAGAAACCCACCAAACCACAATGGTAAGCAAATAGAGAGAACGAAAAGAACAAAGAACACAGAAAATAACCAATTAATACATTGAAAGAAATGAGCCCTCACATATCAACAATAACTTTGTAAATGAATTAAACTTTCCAGTTAAAACATATAGGCTGGCTGAATGGATTTCCATTTTCATTTAGATTTTGGTCTTTTAAAATATTCATTGTTTTCTTCACAGCTTAAGACTATTTGAAAAGATTTGTTTACTTTAATCTAGGATATTCAGTTGTTTTGTAATAAGATGGTAGTTCAAGTTATGAGTCTGCCATTTTGCTAGAAACAGAAGTCCCTAAGGCGTTACTCTTTCTGTAAAATTATTAATGAAATTTTGGAGCACCTTACATACATTTTTATTGAAACATACTTAGGATGTGTTGCCCATTGTCCAGCTTGTGGTGCCACATTTTTTTGTGAGAAGCAGATTTCTCTGATTCTTTAATCGTGAAGCAATATGAGTTCCTAAACAGGTAATATAAAATATTATTGTGGATGATGTCCTTAATGATAAATTTAAGGCACAGGAGAAACGTTATCTGTCTAGTTGACCTTGGTAAAAGACTAGGGCACAACTTTCAACTTATTAACAATGTCTCTGAGGCAGTTAAGAATTTCGATCATCCACGAGGTAAAGAAATTGAGAGTATCCTGGCCAACATGGTGAAACCCCGTTTCTACTAAAAATTCAAAAAATTACCTGGGTGTGGTGGTGCGTGCCTGTAGTCCCAGCTACTTGGGAGGCTAAGGCAGGAGAATTGCTTGAACCCCGGGAGGCAGAGGTTGCAGTGAGCTGAGATTGCCCCACTGCACTCCAGCCTGGAGCCTGGTGAAAGAGCAAGACTCTGTCTCCAAAAAAAAAAAAAAAAAAAAAAAATTGATTACCTTAATTAATGAAACATAAAACTTAAATTAACCTGAAAATTAAAGCCAGGCTCCCATCAGAAACAGAATAAAGTTAAAGCTCTTAATTAAAACCAGGAATGAGGACATGTTGGCTGCTCACTGAAGGAAAAACTATGTTCTTAAATCCAGACAGGCTGACAGTCAAGATGAAAAGCTAGATTATATACTCATTAGGGTGAAAAAAATAATCACCTCAGTGGCCCAAGGACAAGGCCTGAATTTTCTGTTAGAGGAAACTGGATCTATGCATGTGCTGTGTTGAGACCTCATAGTTCTATATTATAGAAATGGGCATGTTTGGTTTTCTGGAAGTGTTGCAAGTATAAGCTATTTGCATTTGTTCCTCTGTTTGCCTAGCTTTATAGGTGTCCACTGAGGCAGTCCATATTTGATGGATGATTGAGTCCTGATTTCTGACAGTCAGCTGACTCTAGTGTTACTGATCTTATGGAAAAGCCAATGCAGTGAGAAGTTTTAAGCAGAAGTTTCAAATACACATAGATCATAATTTAAATATGTCCCTGTTTTGGTTTTATTTTTCTTTTCAGCCAATCCTGAGGCATAAGAAACATTTCAATTCACTGCACATTCCAAAAGCCTTGCCATTTAAGAACAAGCCAAAGACCCAAGTGAAGGCAGGCAAGGTGCTGAAGGACAGGCAGAGACCAGATATCATATGCGGGCCTTGTGAAGGAAGGTCCTGTCACCAACTGACTGCCTGTTTATATAGTAAAATAACACTCTTGGCAGCGCACTTTGCGTTTCTACTGCAACTCAGTTTTTTGTTTTTTTTTTTAAAGGCAAAAACCCATGTAATTTTATTTTTGTTTAAATTTAACCTTGCCAACTTCTTTCCCTGAACAGCATTTGTCTTGTTTTGATACCCACCTACACTTATATTAGAAACGTACTGCAAACTACTTAGTGATTCCACTTTGAATTTATAGTCGTACGACTAAGATGTTTTGAATATAAGCCTACCCATATGCCAGATATAAATTTCAGGAACTCTTAATGTCTCTTCTTTTACAGAAATTCTACCTCTATCCTGATGTAATTAGGTTGATTAAAAAATTAAAAGGCTATGGGCCAGAAAGCTAACTTATACAAATACAACAAAAGGAAAAGATTTTCCAAGTACCTCTATGCAGTGGAAAATATTTCTTTCAAGTACCAAGTCAATTTCTTCAACTGTACAACGTATTCTAATTTGATGGTTTTCAAATATAGTAACAACAAAATGTAATAAAATTAAGACTAAGAAAACAGAGTAAATGGTATAATTCAAATAATGACTAAAACAAAATGGCATTATGGATTTTGTAATCAATATATAACTATATATTTAAATTTTACTTTACATCCATAAGATCACAGTTAAGGAGGTTAACCATAATTTCAAATTTTATTACCAGTCATTTGTGCTACTTTATCACATTTGAAAATATCACTCATTTTTTTACCTCAAACAGTGATCTATAAATTTGTTTAGACCATATTAAGGATGTTTTCTTTTCTTCTTCAGGATAATTTTTTAAAATGAATGATATATTGAACATACTACTAAAGAAACTTTACTTTTTGATTATGACCTCTATACTGAAGATCTGTAGGAATTTTTCTAATTAATTCTCAAATCTTCCCATGACGTCTCTGTTCATAGAAATATCTTTGAAATAATTTGTGTGACTACTTTACAAATCAAAAATAAATTTACATGACCGAATTACCATAATCACTAATTTTAAGTTTCCTAGATATTTTCTATATCCGTTTTCTTGATTATGTCAATGAACATGCTCTTAATAGAACAGAATATTTAATTACATCAGTTTCCCATCAACCCACCAAAATCACTTAATAATTATATTGGCCATTTCCACTGATCGGCAGGAGGTTCTTCCACTAATGGCTCCCATGTTTTCCACTGCACCATTTTTCTTGCTAGACTTAGTTCATGTTCAGCCTGAAGAATCACCTCTTCTAACTGACCACCTTGAAGCTGGTCTTCTAATTTTTGAACATCTGGTTCCGTTTTAACCATAGCCAGCTTCTCATTTGTAATCTGTTCTGTATATTTTCTATAAGCTGCATTTTTAGGGATATCCTCAAGAACATCAAGAATCTTTGTGTACAATATTCTTAGCCTCTCGTGTGGAGTGTTGCACACAGCCAATCCCACAAGGCCAGTGGTCTTCTTCAGCACACCCGCCATGACAGCGCCGACCTGCAACTCAGTTTTGATCAGGAAGGGATATGGCCAGAGTTATTCACGGCACTGGAACTAGAAGTTAGAGGCAGGGCTGGGATCTATTTCCCGTCCTTTGCTTGGCCCTGCTCTGCCCTGTGCATTTTTAATGTGGAGTCATAGACACGGCTGCTTAGTAGAGTTAATAACAATAATAATAAGGAGTTAATATTCATTTGGATCCTAGGTTGCCTCTAGCTTGGATTCCATCAACCGTGGTGCCTAGGATGGGAGTGTGCGGTGGCGGTGAGAGTATTCTGATGCTCGCCGGGTTTTGTTCCTGTCAGATCCTTGAACTGCTGGATGCTCTGAGTACAGTGCACAGTCAGAGGGTGAAGAAAGCCAAGAAGCAGCGGCTCCTGCAAAATAAAGAGCACTTCAAAGCACTCCTCAAGCAGAAGGAGAAGAAGCTGAAGCGGCAGGAGGACCTCAGAAAAAGCTCTTCTGAATTCAGGGTCAGAGGGAAAGAAGAAGCCAGACATCCAGTCTGAAGAGGGCTGAGGAGCAATTGCAGTGAGCCTTTGTAATGGGAGGGCTGGCCATAGATCTGCAGAAATGGACAATTTCAAACATGATGGTGCTTGTGAATAACCAATCAGGTGGCAAGAGCCCAAGCAACGTCCTTTTTGGACATGTCGCACAGACTATGTCTGTTTCAGAAGGAACAAAACCTGCATTGGCAGGATCTGGGTTCATTCTTAGCATCTGGAGCTGTCAAGATTTAAAGTAATGTAAACTATGGTTATGTGGATCCTCTCACTCTCTCTGCCTGCCTTAGTTTAATTATTTTGTGCTACAAAAATATAATTAAAACATCTCCTGTTAGTTTTGGCTTAGTAGTTTTCATTGGCGGTAAATGTCTGACAGTGGATTGTGGATAATTGTTTATTTCACTACCTTCCTGATGAGTCTTCCAGAAAAAAAAGAAGTATTCACTTGAACCCTTAGCTATCATGTAAATGTTCAAGGAAGGGTGATTTTTTTTTTGTCTGTTGTATTCTTTAATCAATGGTTTTAATAGACATTTTATATTTTATTTCATGTATTTTATATTTTACATAATACTTTAGCAGCCGGGTGACAGCATATATAATTGAAAGCTTTAGACCAGGAGATTGCTGTCTCAGGTGAAGAGACCGAGGAAATAGAATATATTGTGAAGTAGGTTTTCTGTACTATGCTCATGCATTAAAACTGCCTAGCTACCTTGCTCATACAGTTTAATTCTGGGTCCTCACCCAAATCTCATGTGGAATTGTAATCCCCATTGATGGAGGAGGGACCTGGTGGCAGGTGATTGGATCACGGGAGTGGTTTCTAATAGTTTAGCACCATCCCTCTAGTGCTGTCTTGTGAAAGAGTTCTCATGAGATCTGGTTGTTTTATAAGCGCGTGGCGCCTTCCACTTTGCTGTCTTTCTCCTGCTCTGATTGTGTGAGGATGTGCCTTGCTTCTCCTGCGCCTTCTGCCATGATTGTAAGTTTCCTGCAGCCTCCCCAGTCATGTGGAAATGTGAGCCAATTAAACCTTTTTCTTCATAAATTACCCAGTCTCAGGTAGTTCTATATAGCAATGCGAGAACAGATTAATACAATTGCCTTTTTCAAATTGAACATTTCATTGATGTACTCATAGTATTATGTATTTATTTTGTGATAGTATGTTGGTATAATTATATAAGGTATAATCCTCTGTGATGTAATAATGGATTCACAACCAGTTGCACACTTTGCCCAATCTCTCTCAATAGCATGGTTTTGCAAATATCACAATCAAAATATTGACAATGATACAGTCTACCGATTTTATTCAGATTTCCCCAGCTTTTCTTATACTCCTATGTGTGTGTGTGCATGCGTGTGTGTGTGAAAATACGGAACATTTAGCAAATCTTTGTGTCATCTTTGCACAGGACCCACACTGATCTCTGAGTGTTTCAATTTTAGTATGTATGCTGCTGGTGGGAGTACCCTGTTGCCTTTACCACATCATATGGGCCAAAAAAAATTCACTTGGGTCAACCAGGGGTTTCCTGGCAGGGTTGTGAGCAGGTGGCCTAGTCTGGGAGGCTTTCTAAAAGCCTAAAGCTGTCAGCAGACAGATGCGGCCTTGTGTCTCCATCAGAATGGATGGGGATGTGAGGATCCGGCCAGGCCCAGGTAGGTCTACCTGGTAATCGACAGTTGGAACATTCCCAGACCTTTCTGAGCAACTCTTGGTATAAATTTTCCTCTATTTCTCATGAGCAATTAAGAATTCCAGCATCAAGTATGGTGATGAGTCTGGGAACTGATACACAGAATACCCATACAAATTATTAAATAATTTAAAGCTAATATCTGTTGTGTTATATAGCATAATTGATACATTTTAAAATATGAGACTATAGTTTAACTAAAATAAACAAGGCACTCTAAGTCATACCATGTATTGCAATTATGTAGTTTACAAGGTCTTTCAGAGTAGATGAAACCTAGCTTTAAAAGAGTGTTAGGAGCTAAGGAAGTGTTTCCAGATAACAACTGGAATCAACAAAAGAAAAAAGGTGTCTTATACAAGTAAATGTTTTCAAAGAGTAAGCTTGCAAACACTAAAGTACATACGATTGTAGTTTCATATTTTAGCCAAAGGAGTGAAATCCCTGAGCAAGGTGAGAAATAAAAGGATGTTTAAGCACAGTAGCAGATAATTATGTTTTCTAAAGACAATATATGTATGTGTAAATGATATTTGCTAATATTAAAAATCTTGGTTTATCATATTGGAGAGCAAGGGAAATGAAAAGTTTGTACATCAAGATTATTTCAAACTAAAGTTGAACCAGGTGCCGTGACTCACACCTGTAATCCCAGCATTTGGGGATGCTGAGGCAGGTGGACCGCTTGACCCTAGGAGTTTGAGACCAGCCTGGGCAACACGGTAAAACCCTGTCTCTACAAAAAATACAAAAATTAACTAAGCCTGGTGTTGTGCACCTGTAGTCTCAGCTACATGGGAGACCGAGGTGGGAGGATCACTTGAGCCCAGGAGGTCAAGACTGAAGTGAGCTGTGATAGTACCACTGCACTACAGCCTGGGCAACAGAGTGAGATTCTGTCGAAAAAGAAATTTTTAAAAAACCCACTGAAATTAAGGAATTTCTATTGTCTGAAAGAAACAATAAATAGCATCTTCTATGTAGAATTTTTACTGGTGAAGGTCCCAGCTAGCCAGGTTAGTAAAATGCAGTCGTGTATCACTTAAGGATGGGGATTTATTCTGAGAAATGCATTCTTTGGCAGTTTTGCCATTGTATGAACATCATAGAGTGTGCTGACATGAACCTAGGCTGTACAGCTGACTACACACCTAGGCAATATGGTATAGCCTGTTGCACCTATGCTATAAACCAGAACAGCATGGGACCATACTGAATACTGCAGGCAATTGTGACATAGCGGGTATTTGTGTATCTAAATGTAGAAAAGATACAGCAGAAATACAATATTATCTTATTGAACCATCAATATATATTGTCTGTCATTGGATGTATGGCACATGGCTGTATGTGCACGTATAGTTTTTGCGACTGTGAAGTTTGTATCCATCTCATTGGAAGATAGTATATCAAAATGAGGACCTGACTGGGAGAGTTTGTAAATTCTTTTCTTTTCTTTCTTTCTTTTTTTTTTTGAGATGGAGTTTCGCTCTTGTTACCTAGGCTGGAGTGCAATGGCGCGATCTCGGCTCACCGCAATCTCCGCCTCCTGGGTTCAAGCAATTCTCCTGCCTCAGCCTCCTGAGTAGCTGGGACTACAGGCGCGTGCCACCATGCCCAGCTAATTTTTGTATTTTGAGTAGAGACGGGGTTTCACCATGTTGACCAGGATGGTCTCATCTCTTGACCTCGTGATCCACCCGCATCAGCCTCCCAAAGTGCTGGGATTACAGGCGTGAGCCACCGCGCCCAGTCAGTAAATTTTTTTTTTTTTTTTTTGGTGACCGAGTTTCACTCTTGTTACCCAGCCTGGAGTGCAATGGCGGGATCTCGCTCACCGCAACCTCCGCCGCCTGGGTGCAGGCAATTCTCCTGCCTCAGCCTTTCGAGTAGCTGGGACTACAGGCGCGCGCCACCATGCCCAGCTAATTTTTGCGTTTCTACAGGTCTCATCTCTTGACCTTGTGAACCACCCGCCTGGGCCTCCCAAAATGCTGGGATTATAGGCGTGAGCCACCACGCCCGGCCCCGTAAATTATTTTCAGTGCTAATTGCTTACTTTTGTGATATGGTCAGGATGTATGTTGCAAAAGTAATTCTACTAGATTGTGAGTTCCCTGAGAGCTAAGAGCAGGAACTGCATTGTTTACCTGGCTGAAACGTGAAGTAGATACTTCAAGTCGATACTTTCCTGCTCTTAGCTCTGGTGGATAGAGTGGCAGGAGATGCCATGGCACCCACTCCGATGCCTGCCCTGCCATCTCCCCAGGTGACGTCTCTGGGGCATCTTGGCAAGTATCATTATCCTATCCCGAGCCTTCCCTCCCCAGAACTGTAGTTGAGGGCATGTGGAGGCCAAAAGACTTCTTAGAGTGTTACTTTCCTTGAAGATCTCTGCTGAGCGAACTGGAGGAGCTGGGTATTCACTGAGGTAACTGCACAGTCAAAGGATCATCCTGGTGGAGAGGTGTGGAAAGGTGGGGAAAGAGCGTATAGTGTTTTCCTTGGAAATGTATGGACGTGTCTTAGAGGAAATACTCCAATTCTGGAACCTTGAGCCCTCCAGGAAATGTTGGAATACTGGGTTAGTCATCCCCAAGGAAGACTAAGAATTCTGGGATCACCCATCTCCTTTAATTCCCACAACAATTCTACATAATATTAAGGAACACAGGCCAGTAACCCTCCAAGCAATGGATGTGGTAGCAAAGTATGACCTCATGGTGAAGAGGAGGTTGGTTCAAAACCTAAGAATTTAATTTATTGTTTCAAAGTGTTCTCCACTCAGTGTTATTAAGGCATATGTAACTGACACATAAAAATTGTGGCCGGGCATGGTGGCTCGTGCCTGTAATCCCAGCACTTTGGGAGGCCGAGGCAGGTGGATCACGAGGTCAAGTGATCGAGACCATCCTGCTC